CATAATTTGATATGTTAGGAGGTAAAAAATCTCAGTTGTCAAGACTACAATGCAGATTGGCTGGTTTATAAGCATGGAAACATCATTTTCTCAGATTGTCACAAAAATCCAAATTTTTCCCCTGTTTGAATTTCCGACAAAGGAAGACAAGTCTCTTATATTATTGCTTTCACTAAATTTTTATGTCATATTAGCTCTTACATTGTACATCACATACAAATTCAAAATAAGATAAATAGAAAAATAAAGGTTACATAAGGACTTTGCTCAACAGTATTTGGTTTATAATCTATGTCCACTTCAGTTAAAATATGGTTTAAAGAATTCAAAATTTACCAAGTATTTTTTTTAGACTTCTGCAATGCATTGCATAAATATGTACCAAGATACTGGTGAGTGGTTTGTGGAAAACATAAGAATCATAACCTTCATTATCACAGAAAATAAATAACAAGAGGCCCATGGGCCACATCGCTCACCTGTGAAGCTTTGACCATTCTGTTCTTTACCAGATTCGCCCCTTGTAATACATAATGCATCCCCACCCTACCCCACTTATCATAATGTAGACATTTTGAAATCTACACTACCCCAGGATCCTTCCATGTGCCCATTGGTTCTTGAGAAGAAGATTTTCAAAGATTTTTCCTATATATTTCTATGTAAAAATTTGATTCCCCATTGTGGCCCCGCCCTTCCCCTGGGGGTCATGATTTAAACAATTCAGAATCTACACTACCCAAGGATGCTTCCACATAAGTTTCAGCTTTTCTGGTCCAGTGGTTCTTGAGAAGAAGATTTTCAAAGATTTTTCCTATATATTTCTATGTAAAACTTTGATTCTCCATTGTGGCCCCGCCCTTCCCCCTGGGGTCATGATTTGAACAATTTAGAATCTACACTACCCCAAGATGCTTCCACATAAGTTTCAGCTTTTCTGGCCCAGTGGTTCTTGAGAAGAAGATTTTCAAAGATTTTTCCTATATATTTCTATGTAAAACTTTTATTCTCCATTGTGGCCCCGTCCTTCCCCCGGGGGTCATGATTTGAACAATTTAGAATCTACACTACCCCAGGATGTTTCAACATAAGTTTCAGCTTTTCTGGCCCAGTGGTTCTTGAGAAGAAGATTTTTTAATGACCCTACCCTATTTTTGTCTTTTCTTGATTATCTCCCCTTGTGAGGGGACTTGGCCCTTTATTTTAACAATTTAAATTCCCCTTCACCCAAGGATGCTTTGTACCAAGTTTGGTCAAAATTGGCCCAGTGGTTCTTGAGAAGAAGTCGAAAATGTGAAAAGTTTACAGACAGACAGACAGACGGACAGCTAGACAGACGGACGGACGACGGACAAAATGTGATCAGAAAAGCTCACTTGAGCCTTCGGCTCAGGTGAGCTAAAAAATAGATACAGGTAAATAATAAATAAATAAACAAACAAACAAATGTAAAATTCAATAATTAAATAAAATGAATTCCTGCACACAGTTGTTATATAAAACAGATATGGAAAGCTCTTGTAAAATGGTACATTATATACGTTTTTTATACGTTTTTCTATACCTAATCTCACACTAATTTCAGCATTCATAATTATAGCCAAAGTACACTTGCTATTATGATTTTATTCTTAGATTGTAAGATAGCTTGAACCATTATAATTATGACATATATATTTTCCCCATGTTTAAAGTAATCAATTAAAAAAATTAATAAAATCCAATTAATCTAAAAATGAATATAAAAACAAGTTCAGGTGTCTGGTTAACAACAAAGTAGCTAGTTGACCTACTGATTTCCTGTAAACCTCAGTTTAACAGCAGTATACACAACACAAAAAACATAGTGGCTACGAACAGCTGACCATCCATATACTTTCAGATACATTCACAACACTGTCACAGACAACAGATCTAAACAGACACCTTAATACAAGCACTAAGAACAATATTCATTACTACTGCTAAAAATCTCATCTCCGGCCATTTTAATGGCATATTTTATACAGTTTCAAGTAACAAAACAATGTTCTTAAAGAAATAATAAATTATACTGCAGTATATACATATTTATAATACAATATCACAGTCCTAACAATGTAAAAAAAAAACAATAGAAATTTAACATGTAAAACATGTATGACCTATGTCAATTTTACTGATAACATGTGTCACATTTACGGATATCATATCAGCTACAATATACTATACTGATAGCTGCTGATGCTACATCTGCAGACATGATGTTTTATGTACAGCCTTAAAATCATGATTGTCTTTGATAGAAACAAAAGTAAATGTGCTAAATCAAATCTTGGCTAACTTGTTCAAAAATCAATTTCTGCCAAATATTGTAGTACATGCTTAATAGAATACATTTAAAGTATACATTGATTGAGTGAGTAATTATTAAAAAGGATTACATGTCCACATCATATAACCATAACTGGTATGGACGTATCACACTGTATCAGCCTTAAGACTATCCAACCCTGATCAAAACACAATTCTTATATATCTTCAAGAATCGACGCAATAAAACTATTGAAAGACCATAAAAATTGTCAGAGATTCCTGGGCGTTTCTCAGGGAGGCACTTTTATTTACATATGCAAGGTCACAGGTTCAAATATGTTTGTGCAGCTGTACAGATGTGATGAAAACAGGAAAAAACATCATCAATGATACACTGTATTAGCCCGCCCCCACTTCATCCTCATCCAGTTAGTTGGGGCAGTGCAATGAACTGTGAACTCTCTGGAGTAAGGCCCCTGGTTTCTTCCTCTACCCTAAAATGTGTAGAAATAAGAATAAGTATAGCTAAATTTATATCATTCATATTTGAGACTACAGAAACACTACTAAAGAATTCTAATTCCATGTTATTTCTATGCAATGGGAGTGATCTGCCCTTAGATCTATAATGAAACCATATAAGATATTAATTGTATTTTAAAAGTTGTAAGTCAATTCAAGCACTTGTAAGATTAAATTTTGCCCAGATAGATGACAGTGATTTTTGTTAACAATATTTCACCTTTGAATTTTTTCCCCAGGTACGTGCCATATGCAATGTTGACAATGAAACAGAAAACTTAATTCTAAAAACCTTAATATGTCATAATTTCCTTAATGTTGAAAAAATGTTTCTAATTATAAAGAGGTGATTGAATTAGCTTGAAAAAACTGTTTAAATGATGACAATTTACCTTTACGTCAAATGTAGGGTGCTTGTTGCTTCCCAGCATCCAGTGTATACTTTTGACGGATTTAGCGGGAGAGTCGCAGCGGGAGATGGGGGATGGAGTTGGCTCGGGACGATTCGCCTCAATTTCTAAATGCTTGTTACGAACAGCAGAGATCATGCTGCAACAGAAAAGATAAAAACTTGGAAAGCATGAAAATTAATATTTCAACAAGTCATTACATTACACTTAATATATCTTGAAATTGAACATATCCTTTAGCTTAATACTTTGCAAAATGCATATTATACTTGATGTCTAAATATGTGTGGTTTAATTCAATGAGATTTTCTTGATTAATATAGATGTTATTATATCGTTTCTCAGCCAAGCAAGCTAGCACTCAGGTAGCCATTTGGCATTTGAGGCCTTTCACATGTCAAACCGTTTAAGGAAGGAAAACTTCAATAAAATAGAGTCCATTTAAGGTAATTAGGTGCCAAATTTCCTGATTTGGCATGAAAGTTTATCTAGTGGATAGTTTGAAAATATGAACAGCCTAGGGTCAAAGGAATTAAGGTACACCTCAAACTGATAAGCTCACAATAATGATTTCTTTTGGGGAAAATTAGCTATTTGGTCAAGAGAAAACTTGTTGTAAATGTCTGTGTCCATTTTTTGAAGATTAATTTTCATAGAAATGTCTTCTTGATATTGCAGGACACCAGTTTTTGTTCAATTACGGCACATTTTTAGTGATATTTTGGTCAAGATATCCTTTAATTAGGGCAGAACTATCCTACAAAAAGATCAGTAATTTTACCTTCAGAAACATTTTTAATCAAACTTACGATTATTTTTTTAGCAAAGTTGGGCTTCAAGCAAACCTGCCCTTGGGTTAAAAATGACAAAGAATCCAAGCCTTATACTGAGCAACTGCTGCATCATATTAGCTTTTCTGCTCAGCTCATAAATTACCACTAATTCCAGTGCAGCAAGCAACACTTACTTCTAAAATTAATGTCAACAAAATTGATGAAAAATGTCTCATACACTACAAACAGTTATGCTTTTCTTTGTAATTGGATTATAACCACCTTGCCATACTTTGGCCCAACTAGGAGTGGGGGAAGTAGGCAGAATTGTCTTTCTTTTCATAAAAGTACAAAGTAAACAGGAAATATATTTTACTGCAATACATGTATCTTGAAAATCACATATACAATAGCGCTTGAATACATAATCAATTTGTATGAATAGATAATATGCTGAGATAGATAGAAAATGGATATTATAACAGCTTTATAGATGTTACAAAATTATTTACAATGTTTCTAGCTAGATTAATAAAAAAAATTGCAGAATATTTGGAATAGATAAGGTTGAGACACAGTTTTATACTTCATTTGGGATACCATAAATATAAGAATTGTGTGAATACTGTAAATGTATTACATTTGGTTGTGTATTCTATTTAGCGCTTTTAGCGGAGAGAAACTTCCGCTAATTCAAGTACAACGGTAAATGTCTTTCACATATAGTCATAAATAAGTATATTAATAAATGTGTGAAATCAGATTTTCGCTAACTTGTTCAAAAACCAATTTCCACCAAATATCGTACACGCTAAATATAATACATTTACAGTATATTATTGAGAGAGGGAAATTCTGAAAATACAGAGACAGAAGCTCTCACTTCTTGTACCTCATCAATTTTCTGCAAAAAAAAAATCAGAAGATTAAGCCACGTTTCAAGTATTTGAATGTATTTAAAGGAGGATAACTCTGAGTGCCTTCACAAACTTGGAATAACTAGCTATCATCTGACAATGGGTATTTTAAACAAAATTTAATACAAGAAAGAAGCACTAGACAAGTGGTGCTAGTTTCAAAAGTTAAGTTTTTCTCCTCAACTTTCATTCAGCTTTACTTACTAGTACATGTATCTTAATGATTTACTGAGAACAAAATTCCCATCAAATCATCTGATTCGTTCAACCAGATTACTTGCATAACATGGAAATAAAGCTGCCTTAATTTCATAAGTTTTCTAAAATAATGCTAATATGGGGAAAGGAGGAAGGGACGTAGCTGCAAATATGAAAAACTCTTAAATAAATTGAGAAACAGAGCATTTTTGATGTTCAATAATTATATACATTTTTCAATGGGTGACACTAGCTCTCTGGTTGTCCATCCCAATGTTTTCAGACTAGCAATTAAGCTACAGATCTGCAGCTACGAGGAATGGAAAGAGAGAATGAATACTAAGCATACACTGTGTTTAACTTTAGCTTCAAGACAAACATTGAACAGTACTAAGATGATGATCAAAACTTACAAAGAAAAATATCTAAAATATCTTACCAGAACTATACACAAACTTTTTAAACATGGAGTAGGCTAATTCCATATGAAAGATAAACGCGAACAATGTTCCTGTCCATCATACCTTTTATACACCTGTACATCATCAATATCTTTCTGTGGAGGGGTCCAATGAATGGGGCGCATGGTGGGGGTGATAGCAGCGTTTTTGAATTTGGGCACCACCAGGTTCATCTGCCTCTCGGCCTGAGCATATGTCTGGGGAGGATTCAGCATCCGCACCACTGGACCCAGCTCCCCAGGGATTCTACAAAACACAAGTTAACATTACTGTCATGTCTTTAATGAAAGAATATTTATTTACATTACTGTTTCCTCTTTAATATTTCTTTGACATTTGAGTGTGTTGATTTCTCAATAATAAGACTTGAATGTAAAGTTTGCACACAGGCACTTGGGGGATAACCCCCCCCTTTTTTCCCCTTTTGAATCTAAGATCAACACAACCCTAAAATATAGAGAAATCACAAGTTTTCTATGGTGCTTAGATATGAGATTTTGTGTCGCTTTCTATATAATTCTATGAAAAAAAAATTTGCTCAACTTTTTAATAATATGTCAATTTTTAAAAAAAATTCTCCTACTATACAGTCACACCTCGTTATCTTGACCTTGATTGGACCAGGAAAAAACAAGATATTCAATGATTCAAGATATCCAGGGTAAAATACGTAAAGAACATAGGTAATCAGAGATTACAGAGCTCACCTCAACGAATGTGGTCTTTAGGTAAGGCAAAGTCAAACAATTAACCAACAAAAAGTGTACATCCCAAAATGAAAATATTTATGCAATTTTGATCTGATACTTTGGAATACACTTATATAAAAACTTCAAACTATAAACCCATAACTTTTACCTGGTCCCTCAACCGGAAAATATAGGTCAGATTCAGCATCCGAAGCAAGTCCATTAGTGTGCACCCTAAGATGTATCATCCATGCAAGTTTGCTCATTATAGGGCTCAAAGTTACTTAGAAATGAAACCTGCATCAAAAACTAACCTTTTCACTCATCCACAAAATGTAGGTCAGATTCAGCATCCGAAGCAAGCCTGGTAGTGAGCATCCTTATATATATCATCCATGCAAGTTTGGTCATTAAAGAGCTCATAGTTACTTGGAAATGAATTCTGCACCAAAAATTTTACTTTGTTCACTCATCCATAAAATGTAGGTCAGATTCAGCATCCGGAGCAAGCCTGGTAGTATGCATCCTAAGATGTATCATCCATGCAAATTAAGTCATTATAGGGCTCATAGTATCTTAGAAATCAAACCTGCATCAAAAGTTTTAACCTGTTCACTCAACCGGAAAATATAGGTCAGATTCTGCATCCAAAGCAAGCCTGGTAGTGTGCATCCTAAGATGAATCGTCCATGCAAGTTTGGTCAACATAGGGCTTATAGTTACTTGGAAATGAAACCAGCACCAAAAACTTTATTTAACCTGTTCACTCATCCGGAAAATGTAGGTCAGATCCAGCATCCGAAGTAAGTCTGGAAGTATGAATCCTTAGATGTACCATCCATGCAAGTTTGGTCATTATGTGTCATTATAGGGCTCATAGTATCTTAGAAATGAAACCTGCACCTAAAACTTTAACCTGTTCACTCAACCGGAAAAGGGTCAGATTCAGCATCCGAAACAAGCCTGGCAGTATGCATCCTTAGATCCTTAGATCATGATTCATTTATGCAAGTTTGCCCTTATAGTGCTCATAGTTACTTGGAAATGAGACCTGCACCAAAAACTTTAACCTGTTCACTTAACCGGAAAATATAGGTCAGATTCAGCATCTGAAGCAAGACTGGCAGTGCGCATCCTTAGATGTATCATCCATGCAAGTTTGGTCAACATAGGGCTTATAGCTACTTAGAAATGAGGCCTGCACCAAAAACTTTAACCTGTTCACTCAAAGGGAAAAGGGTAAGATTCAGCATCCGAAGCAAGCCAAGTAGTATACATCCTTAGATGTATCATTCATGCAAGTTTGGTTAACATAGGGCTTATAGTTCCTTGGAAATGAGACCTACACCAAAAATTGCACCAAAAATGTTAACCGGCTCCAAAAACATTAACCTGGTCATTCCTTTGCTGATATTGCAGCATCTGAAACTTTGACTGGTACACACTAGAAGCATCTTCCATGCATGTCTAATCAATATAGTACATAGAAGTACTTAAAAAGAAAACTGCTCCAAAAAACTTAACCTTAACCTGGGACACCGATGCCGATGGTATTACATAAGCTCCCCTAACTTCGTTGAGGTGAGCTAAAAAAGGGTTTGGAACTTTCCAATCAACTTGACATATCCACTGTATTTGAGATATCAAAGTTCAACTGTACTTGGTAAACATTATTCAGATTACCAATTTTAAATATAAATATATTGCTGATTCTGAAAAAAAAAGTGTGTGTTATTTATCCTTAGCACGGAATGCCTCCTTTCATATTTATTTTCTTTCACACATAAATGTTACTAATAAAGAATCAATGTCTAGTTTGTTGGGTAAGCCACGGACATGAACGAAAGCTGAATACATAGAATACATTGTGCATTACAGGTTTTGCCTATTATGCAAATTATCTTATGGTTCCAAATCATTAATGCTTTGGCATAACCAACAACCTAAACATAGATTCCTTGTTAAAGAACAACAAAGAAGTATGCCTTGATTTTCGTTTGTGTTTTGCACTTTCTTTGCAGGAGATAAAGACCCTTTTTTACATTTTCCCTCTTAAAATAGTAGAGCATTAGCCTTGAACTTATTAGTGGGGATTTTATTTCAAAAGTTTTTCATATTTTTCCAATGAAAAATATTTGTGAATGATATAGAATCTATAATTATTAGTCTAGATTATTATTAATTATTATTATTTATATTAAGATTATAACATATTCCATGAGCATGCAAGTGGTGGCGTCTCTATATGAGTGAAAAATTCTAGAGAGGGACGTTAAACAACATACAATCAATCAATCTATGAACATGTCTCTGTGATCTAGATGAAAACAAATCAAAGGGTCAAAGACCAGAATTAAAATGACATATTTAGGGTCTGTACATGTATATGATAATGAGTCAGTAACTCACAACAAATATGCAGAAGTCAGACCTGAGTACTTGACCCAAAAGTTCAAACTCAAAAATTTCTATGCTTTTAAAGTTTTATCCCAAGTTCATAAATAAAATGCCTTGTGCCTTACATTCTTTTTACCAGCCGCCAGGAGGCGGTCAGTTATTTGATATGAAAGTTTTAAGTCGTCGTGTGTTTCTGTGGAGTTATTAAAACAATTTAAATAAAAATATCGAACATTCATATAATAGAATGGTAAATGTTTCATCCAATCTTGATTGACAAACTCAGCTGACATAACCGATGTGCGGAGACAATAAGCACGTACACATTTTGGGCATGGTCTAAAGCAAAGACCGCGTTATACGTATACAAGTATAAACAATTTTACTTTCTCTATTTAAACAGGATTTGTTGAATATATTTTAAAATGCCGTGTATTTAAACATTTCCGAAAGAAAATGATTGAATGACAATTTATTATCAGACAGAATATTACGAGATTTTGCTCCAACAGATAAGGATAAAGCGCATTTTACAGTATGCCAAGTCTTTTCGCGCCACATCTCACACAAAATAGGAGAAATGTAGTGGCGGATCTAGAGAGAGTGGGAGGGGGGTAACATCCTCTGAGAGTGAGGGAAGAGCCCCACATATTTGTTGCATTTTTATTAAAGCAAAACTATGTATCTCTGTGGTTAAGATAAGTTTAAACTTTAGTTTTAATCTTTAAATGTAACCAGAAGTCTCTGTCGAGACTGTAGCTCTACTGGTTTGTACTTATGACAAAGGATGAGAAAAGAAGCCATTGCCATCAGGAATTTCACAGACATTTCTATTTTTAGTAACAATAGCAAAACTGTTCATCGAAATCAAAAACTGATGCGCTATTTTATGTATCTTAGTGTAGTCTTCTTGTGTGCCAAGTAATACTGAAATCAGACGATAACTGTAGAAGGAGTAGCGTTTTAAAGGAATTTCACAGAAAATTCTGTTTTTAGTAACCATGGCAACACCGTTCATCAAAATCAAAAACCGATGCACTATTTTATGTATCTTAGTGTAGTCTACTTGTGTGCCAAGTAATATTAATATCAGACTAAAACTGTAGGAGGAGTAGCGTTTTAAAGGAATTTCACAGAAAATTCTATTTTTAGTAACCATGGCAACACCTTTCATCAAAATCAAAAACCGATGGACTACTTTATGTATTTTAGTGTAGTCTGCTTATGTGCCAAGTTATATTGAAATCAGAACAAAAGTGTAGGAGGAGTAGCGTTTTCAAGGAATTTCACAGAAAATTCTATTTTTAGTAACTATGGCAACACCGTTCATCGAAATCAAAAACCGATGCACTGTTTTATGTATCTTAGTGTAGTCTACTTGTGTGCCAAGTTATATTGAAATCAAATGAAAACTGTAGGAGAAGTAGCATTTTAAAGGAATTTCACAGAAAATTCTATTTTTAGTAACTATGGCAACACCTTTCATTGAAATAAAAAACCGATGCACTATTTTATGTATCTTAGTGTAGTCTAATTGTGTGCCAAGTTATATTGAAATCAGATGAAAACTGTAGGAGGAGTAGCATTTTAAAGGAATTTCACAGAGAATTCTATTTTTAGTAACCACGGCAACACCGTCCATCGAAATCAAAAACCGATGCACTATTTTATGTATCTTAGTGTAGTCTACTTGTGTGCCAAGTTATATTAAAATCAGACCAAAACTGTAGGAGGAGTAGCGTTTTGAAAAATTGTTTACAGACAGACGGACAGACAGACAGACGGACGGACGACGGACACCTTACTATCGCATAAGCTCTTCTGGTCTCTGACCAGTAGAGCTAAAAACTACTTTAAAAATATCAAACTTCCGACAGAGTTGGTTTGTACCAAACCATGCACGGAGACGCAGAGGACTATGAGTATTTTGCTAATACATTATATGTTCATGTATTAATGTATATATGTATTATGTATTGAAGAAAATCCTGTAAAGTCGCATGCAAATGTTCAGTGTCACAGGGATATATTAATTAACAGATAAATACCGTATAATCCCTATTAATCGCCCCTACCCCTATTAGCGCCCCCTTAGGTCTTTTTCAATTGTCAGGAAATAAGGGCCCCCTGTACAGTGATGAAAATCAACTAGAATCGTATCACCAAATTGAAGAAAGTGAAAATGAAACTTGTCTATTATCCAATTTCTCAGTGGAAAATGAATAATTTAGCATAATTTGGGTGGATTTTCTTCACTTTCAGTAAAGTTAGACATTATTTTAATGACTCCTTGTATTTATTTTTTTTTCAAAAGATTTTTTGAAGTTAAAATTTGACATTGAATATCAAAAAGAGAATACAAAAATAACCGCCCCCTTTTTACAATTTTCTAAGTGCCCGGGGCGGTTAATAGGGATTATACGATATATAAGATATTTTAATAACAGATCAAGCATTCCAGTTTCTTATTGCTTCATTGAAAGGACCAATTGGTTTGCGGCCGATTTTTGATGCTTGCGTCAATATACGTATGTTTCTTGTTTATACGTATATGAAGTTAAACTTCAGTATCTTGAACACTGATATATTGAATATCATGGATATGTCAAAGAGATTTAGAAGTCCCATGCACTAAAATGTGTCATACCTTATTTGATTTTGGTAACCATAGCGACTCCAAACATCGTCTGGATCACAATTAAACCTGCCGAAGGCCTCTCTGGGTGTGTCAATTCGGGGGAGTCTGTAAGGCACCACATTGCTGGTAAAATCCTCCGCTTCCACGGAATGGAAGGTCCACTCCCGAGCTAACTGTGGACGTCGGGTACTTTCTGGGAGGCTGCGGGCTGTCTTAGACCATCTGTAACAAAAACAATACAGTTAAACTTTCGTATCCTGAACACTGATTTCTTGAATACCAGGACTATGTAGAAAGTGAATTGAAAGTCCTTACTACTAATTCTTTTTAAGCAGTTAGCACTTGATATCTCAAATACTGGGATATCTTGAATTTTTTTCTCTCAGTCAAATCAAGTTTGAAATAATGAGGTTTTACTGTACATATAGGTACTGTGCATCACATTTGCTTCCTTTTATACCTGTTTACCTTGCAAATACATGATAGCAATTTATCACTACACTTGAAATTTTATGACAAGGACGAAAAGTACATGTAACGGACCTCAAATCTTCATGGCAAGGGTATGTTTACAAGAGATGACGGTTGACATTTTGAAAGATTCTAAATTATATGCAGGTCATATATTACCTCTACTGATAAACATGTAGTGGTAGGAAGGCATAAGAATTGCATAAAATTACTTTAACTTGTAGAGGACATTTAAAAGTACATGTTCAAGAACATACAAATAAAAAATAATATGACTTGAAAAAATATCTTTACTATATGATCATATGTACATCATTAGCTTTTTATGATTAAGGCACTTTTAAATCATTAGATCTTATAATCCTATTTCTAATGTTGAACTGAAACCTCCGTCTCTTTAGGGCTAATATGTCGCAATGTTGATATTTAACCTACACTTTTACTTTGTCACTGTTAAGTGGTTTATAAAGCAAAATCAACTCACGTTAAGACCTTTTCAGACTGGGTAAACATATACTTCAACAGATATATCACAAGAGAAAATTTCTCGATATAATATGACTTAGAGCATAAACTATTAAGGGACATGCATTCATGAAGTGCACATTTCCAAAAACCCAACTTTTTTTAGTCAAAACTTATCTATTCCACATACCTAAAAATGTGTTAAAAATTAATCAGTAATGCAGTTACCCATGGATACTTATTATGCCTTAAATTTCACTGAAAAAATATTGAACATAGAGTTACAAATACAACCCAGCATAGCAAAATATATATAGAAAATAAATAATCTCTAAATCCAAACTTTCTTGGCAAAGGTATGTGGTTGTACCTATTTAACATGATATGTTACAAGTATAAAGTAAGTTCATGCCAATCATGAATGCATAGATACAATTGCATTTCAAAATCACTGAAGCAAGAAATTTAATCTAGCATGGAAAATGAAGAAAAGTGATTTTAGAGGTAACTCTACTGCCCATAAAAGTTCATTATCATGTTAATTGAATCAATAAATTTGATTAAATCTTCAAGTGTTGTTGCCCTCAAAAATCTTTTCCATATTACCATATACAAAATCTTATATCTATTATCTAAATACGGAAAGAATTTTTTTTCTGTAGACAATGTACCTGAGTTTATGGTTACCACCATATGGATCTGCTTCAACAGTCGGGGCCGCTGCCACTAACATGTTTCACTAAATCCTCTAATCATAAACTCCGATTTCATAACACTTTATAAAATCCCTCTCATATTCACATTAAAAAATACATGGAGACACCATTACAAATTTGAACCAATCATGCCCAAAATTACGTGAAATAAAATATCTCTTCTCTTACAATTACTGCCTTGGTACCTGATGGTAAAAACAGGTTTTTAAATGAAGTTGAAAGGAAACAATTTCAATTTTCAAACAATGTCTTTGCCCAGGGAATCAGATTAAACCGCTGCCATGCGTGAGGCCAATAACCATTGTACAGTACTTTACTTTTTAATAATCAGATATTAAAGGCCTGATTTGGAAGGTAATATTTAGTCAGCTTTGGTCTATATAGTCGGATCAAGTCAGGTATTTATATTATTCATTAATAAAAATGTTGGAGCCAGAACTAGACTTGGATTCCTATATTTCCCCAAGCAGCGCTTAGGACATTTTTCAAAGCTGAAAAATTTAAATACAACATTTTGATTGTTTCAAAAGATAGCAATGTCAATTTCTACAGGAATGTTGAGCTAAATGAAGTGCACTCTGCCAGTCCTAAAACAGAGGAGCTTTTTTGACCCATATCTGTTATACATGAAAAGAACTACGACTTAAAATCTGCCATCTTAGATCATTATTGTCTTTGTGAATGTATAGATTTAAATCCTAACATATGAGAAAAGTAGGTAAACTTGTGTATTCATGGTGTCAGGAGGCATTATCTTAATCCTGTAAAGAGGAAAACTTTTAAAAATATTACAGATAAATCAACTGGTTTATACCCACAGGCACTACAAGGGTTGAGTGTTTGTTCCAAAATGAAATTCACTTTTGAAAATTTTTAAAAGTAGTGTAAAATGCAGAGGTGTTCATATATAACATGACAAAAATCTCTAGATGTAGTCCGAAATATCTGAAGTTTCCCTGGCTTTTTTTACAATTTTGCTATACATGTATATAAAGCCTGGAAAACATAGTATATTTTAGACTACTCTAGATGGTGCTAATTTTCAGTGAAATCTTAGTTACAATATACATATATTGTCAAAATTTTACACAATGCAAGTTGTCTAATTTAACCTTTATTAAACAGTTCTAATAGATGTAATAAGAATATTAATAAAGTCCACTGAGAACCTGTTTTATACGTAATAACTCTCCTCATGCCCCTGTGCTAAAAATAGCAACATGTAATACAATATATACTAATAAAACAAAAGGGGCGGGACACTTTGAGAGGGTTGAGAGAGGTCCTAGGGAGTTTTGGTATAAAATTACATTGCAAAAGCTCAAAATCTTCTTGAAATATCGCCCGGAAAGGATAGTACGTGTTTCATACAGACAGAATGTATAAATTTACGACCTTGAACTTTGACCTTTTGACCTCAAAATCAATAGGGTTCTTCTTTAGTCCATAGGGAGTTGCTATGCAAAATTTCATTGCGAAAGCTCAAAGGGTTCTTGAGATATCGTGTGGAAACGAAAGCATTACAGAGTACAGACAGACAGAAAGATGGACGGACAGACCCAAATTAATATCCCCCACTTTTCAAGCGGGGGACAAAAATTTTGAAACTCTCTGATTTCTTTACTTGATAAGATTTTTAATCACCTTGACCTTTGTGAAACATATGTATGACCTTTGACAAATTTTAATGATTTACGTCGCTAGTATATTGAAGTACCAAGCTTTACATGCATTCTTCTTAATTTGACATCAGAGATATGGATTATTCAAACCAATTTTAATGAACTTGACATGGAATATTCAATATCATTATGTACATGTGCAATCTAGAAGTAATTAAGGTATGACAATTTTTTGGCCTGGCAGAAATAATTTTTTTCCAATTTGAAGTTCATTTACAAGTTTATTGTTGTGTCTGCAAAAACATTCTGCATCAATGCACAATTGATTTGATAGTTTGCAACATTAATATGCACAAGTAAAGAAAACTGCAAAACTCCCGACATTTCTTGCTTGAGAATAATAATTGACAGCGGGACAGAAAAAAGAGAATCTGATTAATACCCCCACTTAATTTTTATGCTGCTGTATGTATATGAATAGGTTTGTTGCAAAGCATAATTTTAATCCATTTCAACTTACAGATTCAAACAGGACTTGAACGTGACAAAAAAAAAAATAACTTGCCATGCATGAATATATAGATCCCATCCCAAAACTACATTCATTTCTTTTATCTCAAATGTTTTACTTCTGCATTTCTAATAATAAAAGTTTAATTCTTAAAAACTGGATACTTTTGGTCATTTTATTGGAAGCTTCCATACAACTTTAAAACAAGAGGCCCAGGGGCCACAGCGCTCACCTGAGCACATCGGGCTTGAATTTATCCCCCCCTCCAGGCGTTCATCATTTGAATCTACACTACCTGAGGATGATTCCATATAAATATCACTAATCATAGCTTTGAAGTACTTGAAAAGAAGATTTTAAAAGGTTTCCCTATATATCCCTATGTAAAACTTGGGTCGGCCATTTTGGCCCCACCCTAGCCCCGGGGGTCATGATTTGAACAAACTTGAATCTACACTACCTGAGGATGATTCCACATGAGTTTCATCTTTCCTGGCCCAGTGGTTCTTGAGAAGAAGATTTTTAAAGATTTTTCCTATATATTCCTATGTAAAACTTGGGTCGGCCATTTTGGCCCCACCCTTGCCCCAGGGGTCATGATTTGAACAAACTTGAATCTACAATACCTGAGGATGATTCCACATGAGTTTCATCTTTCCTGGCCTAGTGGTTCTGGAGAAGAAGATTTTTAAAGATTTTTCCTATATATTCCTATGTAAAACTTGGGTCGGCCATTTTGGCCCCACCCTAGCCCCGGGGGTCATGATTTGAACAAACTTGAATCTACACTACCTGAGGATGATTCCACATGAGTTTCATCTTTCCTGGCCCAGTGGTTCTGGAGAAGAAGATTTTTAAAGATTTTTCCTATATATTCCTATGTAAAACTTGGGTCGGCCATTTTGGCCCCACCCTTGCCCCGGGGGTCATGATTTGAACAAACTTGAATCTACACTACCTGAGGATGATTCCACATGAGTTTCATCTTTCCTGGCCCAGTGGTTCTGGAGAAGAAGATTTTTAAAGATTTTTCCTATATATTCCTATGTAAAACTTGGGTCGGCCATTTTGGCCCCACCCTTGCCCCGGGGGTCACGATTTGAACAAACTTGAATCTACACTACCTGAGGATGCTTCCACATGAGTTTCATCTTTCCTGGCCCAGCGGTTCTGGAGAAGAAGATTTTTTAAAAATGCCATTAATTTTTAACAAATTCATGATTATCTCCCCTTGGAAAAGGGCGTGGCCCTTCATTTGAACAAACTTGAATTCCCTTCACCCAAGGATACTCTGTACCAAGTTTGGTTGAAATTGGCTCAGTAGTTCTTGAGAAGAAGTCGATAATGTGAAAAGTTTACAACAACGACGACAATACCAACGACTACGACATCAACAGACAAATTTTGATCAGAAAAGCTCACTTGAGCCTTCGGCTCAGGTGAGCTAAAAATGGCAATAATTAACTCCGCAAACCATTAATGAACTGGTAATTCATTACGCATAATTGAATGGCTAATGAAAACTGATCATTTACAAATAGGACATACACTACCATTCTATACTTGTAACCTTCTTCTTTGAGCCAAGCTAATTTCAATTTGTCATTCAAACTTACATCTTATTAATTATTCCTTCCAACATCATTGTAAATATTAACTAAATTGCATAAATTACCTGGCTTTTCTTGGCAACATTATTTACGTCCAATCCATTGTTTCCAAACACACTTCAAAATATTGGTCAGATATCTTTCATTTCATATAAATTCTTAAAAGATAACATCCCCTGCGTTTTGGATCAGCGATACTTTTTGTGTAAGCTTAATCCATATGTGTGTATCCAGTGTCACATAATAAGATGACCATAATCTTGAATTGCTAGCCGTTACTTCAAAACTATCAGACGAATTGTTTAAACAACAAGAACACGATCCGAGTCACAGACCACAAATTAGGAATCCCCATAGAAAACGATCATTTAACCATTGATCGACAATCAAAACAAACACAATCTTCGATACCCTTTTCAGTTTTTTTCCCTTTCAATACCCACATTGATCCGAAATGGCAATATTGATGTTTCCATTTTTTAACAATAACTGTTTATGCATGTTGGTGCAATATTAAGCCAATTGTTATATGAACCAGCTATAGTCTGCCAGCTGGAATAGATGATTTTTTAAGTTAAATGTCTTAAGGAGTATTCATATCAGAATGGAAGAGGATCTGGTTACGATAATTAAAAACGGTGAAGAACTTAATTTAAAATTCACGGTTTATACACAGCCGGTATTTTTGTAGTAACATTTGATTGTTGATTTAGTGATGGCAAAGTAAGAGAATTATCCTTTAATTAAAATAAAATTAGCTGACCCCTGCAGGAGAAAGTTGGATATTTACTTAATATAAATACCTGGTATATCCCAAAAAGTCTGTACAGGAAATTGTATCTAAATTAAACACCTTAATTATGAATTGGATCTAATAAATAATTAGATACTAAGAATCTTTTTAAAATTGTTTTCTCTTTAGTTTGAAAATCTGCTATTGTAAAGGCACGTTGAGACATCATATCTTAAAGACTGTACGTATCTAAAATAGCTCATGGTCTACAAAGAATGCTGAAATCCAAAATGCTTAGACCTTTTCTTTCAGAGAGATGAATCCAAAGGATTTAAAGCTCAATTTTCTAATGCTATGTCTGTGTTGATTTCTTTTTGATTGCAGTCACTTATAAATTTTCTGGTTAAATTGATACTTCTCAACTAGCCAACATCTCATTTGTCACAATCTAATGACATATCTTGAGCAAAAAAAAAAAAAGCATCAAAAATTAATTTTGAAGCTGAGTAGGGCATTAACAATGTTATTAAACCAGGTTCTAGATTTACTCACCATGACTGAAAAATGAGTACCTTGACCTCTTTTGATAAAACAACTACAATTAAAAGAAATGAACTTCGATCATGCAATGATCTGAACAATTTACAGAGTATAGAACTGATATCAAGAGGAACAACTCCTACATATACCCTGCTATATTCCAACACATGTATTGTAACAGGTTGGGAGAATAAAAATGTGACAGACTGGACCATATTTTAAACCCAGACCCCAGAATCTTTGGCCAGGTGCTGTACCAGTTGACCAATCTTCCACTGCTGATTGAACCCATGTGTCATCCACAATATAATATGAAAATGAATCTATAGCTTTTCTTTTTCAACTTGGATGATATTTAAGTAAAAATAATACTACATGTACTTGTTTATGTTATTATGATACACAGCAATTAGACTATTAAAACTGTGTTTTGACTATACATATTTATTATACCTCTATTGATAATACTCAAATTTGATTGGCTGGTAAAAAAACTTTAAAACACAACAATGACTCCAAATGGTACTGTTTACAGCTATACTGACCTAGGAATCATTGCACGTGGGATATAATGACCCGGTCATTATTTTTAATGACCGCTAAAAATGACCGCTTAATCAAAAATTCGTTTTTGAGTGAAGTTAATGCATAAAATAATAATTATTCGAAAAAAAACAACATGTTTTTAAAATAGTGCATGGTCTGTTTCGCATTACCATACAGTATACGGTAAAATTTTATCGTTACAATATATCATTACAATATTGACAATTCAGTTCAATAGAATGTAGAGGCGGCTCTTTAAAGAGTTAAATTCTGTGTTAGATTTTGACTGTGTAAAGGAAAAGTAATCGTTAGTTATAACAATGTGTTCGCTATCAACCAAATATTGTTTTAATCAGTAAATCATGATGCAAAAACTTACACAACTTGCAGACGTCAAGGTAAACAACTTTACTATCCGGTCTGTAGCGAATCCCGATCCCGATCAAAGAAAGAATTGGTAACGGTTAGAGATTCATACTTTTTCAATATATATCGGTATAATAAAACAATTAATTACCCCTTGTGAGTTCAACATGGTGAAATAAGGACCCTCGACCTGGCCCACTCGATGACCTGACCTGACCTCGGCCGCTCCGCGGCCTCGGTCAGGTCAGGTCACCTCGTGGGCCAGGTCTCGGGTCCTTATTTCACCATGTTGACCTCACAAGGGGTAATTAATTGTATAATAGTATTGCATAGCAACTGTTGATGGGGGTGCAACTATCATGATATACTGTAAACTAAGTTTTATTTGTGTGCAAGAAAAATCTTTAACTTGCGAATATTAATTTCCGCGAACCAATCAATTTGCTTAGTATTTGTAGAGAATGTTTCCTCAGTCAAAAACATTAATCATTGCAGACTGATTTCAAATTGAAAATCGAGAATAAAAGTGACGTGAATTATAGTTGGTTAACAGTAATACATGTACTGGTACACTGGAAATAAAGTATTTGTAACTTTGGCTTGATATAAACCCTGTATAATAAAATTCAAAATTTTTCTTTGAAAATCTCATTTGCATAGAAATGCCCATACAAAACTTAATTCAACTCATATGTAAATGTCTGTCTGACTGTCTATTCATACCTTCTAAAATGTCTTCACCCCAATAGACACAATTACATGTAACTCACATTCTTTTTGCCCTTTGCAAGACTTTCACCTGTAAGACCAGGGAAGCTCTGGTCAATGACACCAAATTACATAACAAGATAAATGTGATGGTCCAAACCAGGATTTGAACCATGGCCCCTTAACACTATAATCAGGTGTGATAGATCCTGTCCAATGCCAATTGTTTTGGGGAAGACAGAGATGGGTCAATCATTATTTTCTACATGACTTGATTGCTCGAGGACCTGGCTTAAAATACAAGGTCAATAACATTCTTAAAATACAAGGTCAATAACATTCGTATCATTTGGTGTCGTTCCATGCCCTGGAAGTCAGGTGAAGACCTGCCAGACAAGAGCCTGGGTTGGTGTCTTCTGGGAGTGTAGCCTTCTATAATTCATAGGCGTAGGAACCAGGGGGGGGGGAGGAGCATAGCCTTCCCCACTCTTTTTGCAAAAATAGACATTATATAGGCATTGAAAATTGGGATCTATTTTTTTTTGTTGGTGTAGCCCCCCCCCACTTTTGATTAGCCCCCCCCCCACTTTCAATTTGCTTCCAACGCCCATGTAATTTGAATTTTCTTTAAAATATAAGACATCATACATATTTTTTTAACATTAACAATAAGACCCAGCCACATGTACCTATATGGTTTTAAGATGTGATTTTAAACCTGTGGTAAAATATTTAAACCTCACAACCACAAAATTTGGCTTCATTTAATCACACACATTAATACTTTTCAATGTCATTTATCTTAAGAGTTTTCTATGTTTCATCTATTTGAAATCTTATCATTGATACATTAGGCCTACCTGTGGTGAAGTCAACATGTAAACTCTGCTGAGATAATTCGAACTACGTTTCTCAGCCTTTACTATTCCCATGCGCCTCTCTTTTAACATTTTTTAAACACTTCTGCGTCAAAATTTATAGATCATTATATTGTCCTTACCTTACTTGTTTCACTGACATCGTATTCTAATCGATCTTTCATGTCTGAATGACAGACGGTGTCAGACCTTCTCAGTTCTTTAATTTTCTTGGTTCTTTGCTGTCTCCCCGACGAATCAGTCCGACGAGCTCCGAAATTATGTTTACGCAGAACGACCCAGTAACGAAGATTTAGCGGGAAAATTGACTTCATTTGTTATAGGGCTAAACGGGGACTACAAAAATAAATGGAATCATCATTTTTGGATAGTTTTGCGGGATGTACACGTATAGATATGCCATAATTAAAATCAAATATTACAAACTCTTTTTACCAGCTGTTTACAGTAAATTAATTTTTTGTTAGGTTATTCATATAGTGATAGACGCTTAAAAATTGGTTTCAGGATGTTTTGGTTATTTGAAATTATAATATTTGAATCTAACTTCTAAATTTCTAAAAATCTAAAACGTTCCAAAGTTGAAATTGAGAAGTTCGAAGTAGATTTTAAATAATCAAAAGACGAAAAATGTTATTGAATTTTAGATTATTAATCGTAAACTTTCTGAAGAAACGGTAGACCTATTAAAAACTAAAAAGTTTGAAATACAAAATTAGTTTTTTGGAAAGTCGAATTTTGAATATCTAAGGTAAAAATCTAAACACTTAAAATTCTAAAACCTGTTTGGAAATTTGAAAATCTAGATTTTCGAACTAAAGTATTAAATTTCAATATACCAAATCAGTTTTTGAAAGTTAAAATTTTGAATTAATATTCTTAAACTCAAAATCATTTTAAAAATTTGAATTGTTAAGTATTACACGGACCAGGATGGTGTATATGTAGTATGCTCACAGGCACCACCTGGCGAATGGATGGTGTAAGCTCCCCCCCCCCCCCGGGGGGGGCAGAAATTGGCCCTATACGGCAGTTAATTTTTTTTATATACCGTACAGGGCCAATCTCTAAATCTTAACAAAAGCGGAAAATGATATCAGATAACGAAATATAACTGAGAATGATAGACTAGGAAATCGTTTGTATTTTTGATAAGTTTTTGTGCAGGTCTAATAACAAATTTCAATAGCTGGGGGTGGGGGTTACACCATCCATTTGTCACTGAGTTACCTTTCGTTATTTACCTTCAATATCCGAGCTTTCATAAAGAGATTTTAAAAATGCTAGAAAATATTTTACTAGTAGTTTATCCCAGTGGAGGACATATTTAAATTATTTTCATTTTAAAGACTGAACAGTGGTTATGCGTTATGTTCAAAATCTGCCATCCTCTCATCCAAATCAAATATTAAAACTACAAATAAAGTATTGCAAATTAACAAGATTCGTATGGAAATCCTCAGAATAACTTAGAAGAGCTAAACCCAAAAAGTTCAATTAACAAACGAGATCATTCGTGGGTATTGGCCTAGCTGTACTTCAGAACTGTAACCCCACTCTATGCCGTGCAGCGCATAGTTTGAAAAACTTGATGTATTTGATCTGCGGATGCTTGCTTATTAATCTGACATCTTAATTTGCCCCAATTCAGAAAAAAAACTTCTACAAGATTGTTTTCCTATATA